GTCAGACCAGCAACCAAGAGGTCTAGTCAGACTGGGCCAGGATGTTGATCCTCGGAATCATCAACAAGTAGTAGGTAGGGATCTGGAGAGCAACTCCCTAACTGCAAACTGAAATCCAAGTCATTCTTACTTTCGTGCCAAAACGGATTTCATTTACATATTCTTTATTCCTCACTGCAAGACTGCATTTATGTAATTTTAATTCATATCTATAATTTATTTATTCTAGATTGTTACTAGAAATTTATTTTGAAGGCCAGAGAAGTTATGTTTTATCAAACTTTCAGTAAAGAATTTCCACACAGCTCATTAAAATTAGCATAAAAATTGCATATATATTCCAATGAATAAGAGACACAGTGAAGAACAAACAAAATATGCAAAATAAATAAGGGCATGAAATAATCAGCAGTGAATATAGTAAAATGCCTTTTTCTGGTGGGTCCTTGGTGGGTCCCTGTTACAAGCCTCCTGGATAGCTCCACACATCACACTACCTTTACAAGGCATTAAAAGCCTCCCGGAGGCCAAACCTAGTACCCTCAGGGGCACAGAGCAGGGCATGCTAGATCACCCTGAGAAATAAACCACCACAAAAGTAAAGACAAAACAGACAAAAGCAAGGTGAATCAAGCAACTCTGAAAACGAGACAGTGGTTAGGGCATTCACCTGATAGTTACCCTTCCCCACTGCCAGGTGGCAGCATCAGGCAGTCCAGGACAGACCAGGGCAACCCATTAGTTATTCCCCTCTATGCTGTGATGCTAGCAGTGCTCTTTGTGTCACTTTCACCCTTTGGGTTCCAGTTTAGACTGTCTTCCAAGAGTTATTTTTTTTGTTTGTTCTGATTTTGGTATTAGCTTCATTAGTATATTTTAAAGTCTAACCTGTTGTGAGGACCTTAAGTCACTGTTCACCTAGAGCTGCATAGTCTCTGGGTTGCCTTCCCCAAGTGCTTTCTGTTACTTCTGCCCAGTCAAGGTTGCCTTCCCTGGTGGGTTCACGTGTTCATCCCTTGAGAGGCCGGCCTCCTGTGGAGGGTGCCTCACCCTCCTTTATGGGTGTGCAGACGTTTGAGCACTTGTTTCATGGAATGGTGCTCATGCAATTGGTAGTTGCCATTGTCCCTCAAGCTACATTCAGGGTTTGCTAGCAAGTGGCTGACTGCACCTGGTGGCCTTGATCAGTTTTCACTGTCAAGGCCTGGAAAGTCCCATCTTTTTTGTGGTTCCATACTGAATCAACCTGCTGTGCTTACATTTGTGAAAAACCCATATAGTATTACCAGGTTGAGGGCTAGAGTCCTGTTCTATAAGCTAGCGACCTGTGGGCACGGCAGGCTACCCTCAATTGTTTCAAGATGGTAGATGTTTGTTTGAGGTCTCAACCCACCAAACTGGGAACCCTGTGTATTTGCAGGAATTTCAAATGTTGCAGGGTACCTAAAATATCTTGGGATGGTATGCACATTATAGGTCTGACATCTGAGGGTGGTATGTATGTGCAAGTGATAAACTAGTAACCAATTTAGTATGTTCAAATTCCAGTACAGTATTTTCTATTTAAATTTTTTTTTTATATCTTTTCTGAAATACAGTATATTGGGAATCTAATTATACCTCTCATTTTAAAATAATTAACAAATATAAATTACAGTAATTAAAAATTAACCTAACAAAATTTATTAATTTTCAGATTCCTGAATGGCTCAACACCCTCCCAAGTTGGTTCAACAGCACTCCGTGGTGGTTCAAAACACCACCAGCCTGGTTCCACACAGCCCCAGCTTGGTTCAATGCTCCTCTTAAATCACAAATTCTTGAAGAAATAAAAACAGAAGGGGAAGGTGTTTTTCCAGAAACAATTACAAAAGAAGTTATTTTTGGAGCCAATGCATCCATCAATGGGAGAGGAAATGCTTATTATGACAATAAGACGTTAAAGTAAGCTCATTCAATTTTTTGTTGAGAGAGAGAGAGATTCTCTCCAATCTCTAAATTTATATAGGATTTTTTTACTATATTACAGTCAAATCATTTGCAAACCCTAAAAAAAATATGACAGTAACAGCTTCATAATTTAAAACATTAATGCAGTGCTCCACCAACAAGCTCAACCTCTGTTCACCTCATGGGGTGGCAGAACTGAATAGTGTCATGCATCTTTAATACTCGTTTTATTCACAGAGGTAATTTTTATAATATGCTTTTCTTTTATTTTCCAGTATCCACATCCCAATCAAGATCGTCCAGAATTAATTATCCAGCAATGAAGTATCCTCTGTCTGGATGCTGTGCACAGTTTATTCCATTCCCTTTTTCTTCTCATATAAATAGCATGAAATGTATAAAAACACTAGACATTTCTGCTGCTGTACCATTTCAAATACATCTGTGAAACTCAAAAGATGGGTGGCCATCATACTGCTGGGAAAATGAAGTAATAGGTACAAATTAGTTTTGCAATGAACAAAACCACAAATTATAACTTATTGTACATTAAAAGGCAAATGATATACTGTACCTGTATTATGATCGAGAGTCGTATCCTTAGTATTTTTATACAGTCCATATATTCATACCACCACTCCCTAGTGACTGTTTACATCATCATATACACTAAATTAATATATATTCCAATCAAAGTTGCAATATTGTCTCATTTGTAAACAAACAGCTTTTTAAATAGAATAAATTGGTTTAACAGCAGTCATACCCCAAAAAAATCAAGCGTTGAAAGTAATGACTTGCCATTTTCTAGGAAAACTATATATTTTGGGCATTATGAACAACCTCGTCAACAGCATATGGATTCTTTATATATTTTATCATTATCATGACAAACTTAGTTCCTGAAGATGAACACTCCATTGCTTGACTGCTTACAGGTTGTAGCACTGGGAAGCTAGTGAGCGACCCACCAGAAAGACAAGTCTCAAAACATTCAACGTTGGATTTTCTAATTGCTTTATAGTTACTTCTAAATTTCTATAACTACAGGTATTCTCAAGAGCTTAAAGCTCAACATTACTTGCATGGTGCAAAGAGTTAATGCCTTAACCTTCAGCTTCACGTCTATTTTAGTCTAGCTTTTGAGAAATTATTTCAATGTACTAAGGTTAGATATTTCTAAGAAATATCCTATTGCTGATTGAATTATTGCTGATAAACATCACGTACTATTCTGACTACTCGTCTTTCTTGTACCCAAACTAAAAAGAAAAACTACCCAAGAGCAGTTACATTCTAAAGCAGTGTAAGAGTTTACCCTATATATTTCATTTTAAGCTACAAAATGATTTTGCGAGTTCAAAGTTCAAATGGGTTATACACGCGTTATAAAGATCAAGGTAAAGATTATATATACGGTAATTATATATATACACACACACACACACACACACATTACAAATATATTATTCATGCTTTTAATATGGTTTCATTTACCTATCATGTTACAACTGTGCAAAATAAATTAATAGGTTATGTTTATAGCTAAAGATAAAGTTATTTATTGGAGGATACACTATTGTTAACACTACAACGCTCTACCCTCTTGGTGCATGTCAAGACAAACACTGCTGCACTTAGGTCTCTGCTAAGCACCTTACAAAATGTTTAAGAGACTTTATTATGATATGTTATTTTTGTAAGTTATACAGTATTTATGAATTTGGTGTAAAAAATGTTCATGTATATAAATATGGAGCATGGGTCAATAATTTTGATTGGAAGGCAATTTCATTAATGAGGGTACATATTACAGGCCTCAGAATTAATATAGATGTACTGTATATGCAATTTATTCATATTGACTAGTGTTCTTGGTCTCAAAATGATTAATGACTTCTCAAATGACTTCTCTGGGGTACACACACTGGCACATTTTGCCTACATACCAGTACCACTAGGACCCAGTTATGCCTCACTGCTCGATTTTCTCACTAGAAATCGTTCCATTGAAGATTGTTTTTCCTTTCTTTCCAACACTTGTCTGTAGTGAGGCATCACATTGTCATTAAAAACATCAATGCAACGGCCTGTTACAGCTTTATCTGGGCGATTCTTTTCAGCAAAACTTTGCAGTTCTTCCCATACTGCACACATTTTCTTAATTAATGAGGAAGGGACATCCTCTAATGCTGCCTCCTCCTCCTCCTCCTCCTCTGAAGATTTGTTGTACTGCTACTGCTAGCTAGTTCAACAACACAAGTACCATTTTCATGTTTACATATGATCTCTTTTTTTTTTTCCCCCTCTATGGTCATTCTTACATGTGTTTTCATATGTTGAACCTTACCACTGACTTTCTTGGGACCCATGGGGTGATATATAATAATCAGTTTTATGTTCAAAAAGCAAAATATCACCACAAAATGGAATTTCTTACAAGCGTGATTGTCACTAAGCAGGCGGCTCTAGTAAACTGAGGCAAGTCAGTCCGCATGACCGTGAACCATGCGCTCAGTCGACCCAAACGTGTACCAACAAATATCGTTAGTCGACAACACTATCGTAAGTCGAGTCGCATTTTTCGAAAAAACTTATATCGTAACTCAAAATTATCGTAAGTCGGGGCAATCTTAAGTCGAGGTGCCACTGAATACACATACAGTACATACAGTACATAAACATACACACACACAATCTGGGGCCGCCGGTGGCTGTGTGGATAGCATGCTGGACACGTAATCCTGTGGCCCGGGTTCGATTCCTGGCACCGGCGAGAAACAATGGGCAGAGTTTCTTTCACCCTGATGCCCTGTTACCTAGCAGTAAATAGGTACCTGCGAGTTAGACAGCTGTTACGGGCTGCTTCCTGGGGGTATGTGTGGGGGTGAAAAAAAATTAGTAGTTAGTAACAGTTGAGAGGCGGGCTGAAAGAGCAGAGCTCAACCCCCGCAAGCACAACTAGGTGAATATATACACAGGCTTTCTGTCCTTGACAAAATGAATTAATATCAATATTTAATGTTAATATACATTATATAATTACTTACCTTGAAAGGTAGATTGGATATTTCTCTAGCTTGAAATCTTGATCTTAATGGAGGATCAAGAGGGTAACCCTGGTAAGGTGGCGAGGGCAGTCCTAGAGCAATAACTCTAAAATCTTTACTAACTCGTACTAAACGCATTCTGTCCAATTCTGATTGTGAATGCTCCTGTAAAAAAATATTTACATTTATTGCACACACCCGAGGCAAAAATTAACAAAGTACCTCCATTAGCATATTTCAGATCTAAATACAATTGACTTTTGATTGTGCAGAGAATTAACACAATCAGTTTTCATGTGTGTTAAAAATACAGACCCCTTTTTTTGGTTTAATGTATTCAGTTATATTAGGAAGGTATTTAGACTTGAAGCCAGATAATGGAACTTGGTACATTATTCTGTGCTATGTCTCTGCAGCATTTATTCGTGTGAGTGCAGTTATAGTGTGTGTAGTGAGTGTAGTTATGCCTAAGTGTAGTTATAGGATGAAAGTCACACTCGTGGTGTTCAGCCTTCAATAAAATCTTGTTATCCAAGGTTTTTGAAGATTACGATGGTTCAGAAAAAACTGCCCTCTTCTTTAAATTATACCATATATATAAATATACCCCTGTATTTGTAAAACTCTAGCATTGAATGTAATGAGATGCTTCTTTCTGGTGGGCCTCTAGGTGGCTCCTTGGTGCTAGCTATCTGGAAAGTCCTACACATAGTACACTAGGTGCTTGAGAGTCAAACACTTACTGGAGCTCAGAGAAAAAATCTGGTTGTCTCCAAGAAGCTCAGGGAGCAAGGGACACATCACTTTAAACAAAAAAGGAAAATTCACCAGAAAGGTAGAGCACACTAAAACACACAGCTGCAAGGAAAATAGTAACAATGACACAATGGTTATGTTATTATCACTGCTAGTTACACGTTTCCACTACCAGGTGGCAGATCCAGCAGCTCATGCTTCAACCAGGAAAAGGCATCAGATATGTGTCAAAGCTCAAAAGGGGGGATGGCGGGAACAGGGAGCCACCAAGTATCCCACCAGAAAAAGGCATTTGATTAAATTCAGTACTGGATTTCTGGGAGTGGCTGCTCATGATTCCCTGGAGCTACCATGGAAAGCACAACAAAAACACAGGACTCACTAGGGGCAAAGGAGAGCAACAGCCAGTAGCCCCCAAAGAAAGGGAGAACAGCTGCAGGTAACCCTATCCAATGGCATGGACATTTGGCACAGTGCAGGAGAGAGCGCCAAAACCCACAAGCACAAAGTCAAGTCAGAAAAGGTGGACAGAGCCACACACTGACACACCCACAGACCAGAGCAACAAAATAACAACAGATTACCGAAGACAAATGGGCCCCAAAACAAGAAACCAAGGACAAAGTAAACGGTACCTGGAGCAGCTCGAGGGACAAGCAAGAAAAGGCAGACCACCACAACTGGGACCAAAGGGCTAAAGTTCAACCCCCACAAGCACAACTAAGTGAATACAACCAGATACAGCAAATGGAGCACCAGCAGACAATTATAAAACAAAGGGAACACAGAAAAAAGAAGGATGGGAGGGAAAACCAGGAAACCGCACGGAGACCAGAAACAAACTCGAGAAGCAGAAACTGGAATGAGAAAAAGGAACACACAAAACACCAGGAAATGTGATGCTAAAAGCCAATAGATGAACAGCACAAAACCCTGAATTAATGAGAAAACTACCTTGGACTGAACCCCTGAAAGAAGCAGAGCTGCAGAAAAACAAGCAAGCTCAAACATACAGGCCTGAAAAGCCAGAATTTATTGAAGTGTTGGCCACCATGGAAGCAAAGGGGAACATCTCGCCAGCAAAAGACTCTAAACCAGAAAAAACACAAGCAGCAGCTTCCAGCCTAGAGGGAATGACGAGAATACCCACTGACTCAAGTCCAGATGAAAAACAACCACAGCGAAAACCCAGTTAATTGAGAATGTGGCCACAGACAGCAGCAGCAGGTTTCATGCAAATAAGAGAACTACCAGTATTGTAGAGTAGCCAAATGTGTCTAAAAATATACCAACGATAGAATGCATCATCAGCCTTCCACACTAAGGCAACGGCATGGAAGACACACCACCTGTAAGAACGCAAGACACGAGCCACATAGTTTCCATGTCGAGAGCCAAATCTCAAGAAACAAGACATGGAACCACATATTCAACCTCACCCCACAGAGGAAGAAAATGAAGAAACCCCTTCTATCCAGACAAGAAATCACTGGAGAGCAGGCAGAGCTGATACAGCTATTTTTAAGCTGCTGCTGTAGTGTAAACAATGTCTCCTTATAAACTTGGGTCTGGCATCCAGGACTTTGATGTTCATAGGTAAGCCCCTTTAAGTTTTTCTGATCTTATTGTCACATGTTTCTTCTTAAGGATTTGTATATGCAGAATATTATGGACTATAATAAAACACACTTCTGGGTACCCCCAAGAAGCTCCCCCTTTTCCCTCCCGGTTCTCATGCTAACTCATGGGCTTTAGATGTTTGCTCAAGCTTGAGAACGTAGTGCTGGGCAGTACCAGACCCCTTGGTTAACTAGCACTACAAAAAGATATTTAGGATACCGAGCATATATATATATATATATTTTTTTTTTTGCTCTCTTTTTGGGTAGGTTTTCCTCAGTGTTTATTGTCTTTTGACACCCTCAGCTTGGCAAGATTCTCATCCCTGCTCCCAAAAGGCAGTGAGATAGTCTTAGATGCCTGGTGCAATGGCATTGGGTAGATAACAGATTAGCAAATAAGCTTAGAAATCTGGTCATTGCCAATCATTTAAAAGAGGTATACAATATTAATAACTGGGAAGGACAGAATATACGGCCATAGTAAGGAAAAAGGCAGGATAGTAGAGATAGCCCAAGCTATCAGGTGTAGGGTTTGTAGTCAATTATTTGATACAGTATATCATTCTTTACAATGGTGCAGGTAAATGGAAAGGATGTGGAATTAGGACTACTACAGAGAAATTCTAAGACAGACAAAATAGTTTTGATTGATTGACAGGAAAAAACATTGTGGATGAAAAAAGTAAAAAAATGTCAGATTACATGAGAGCACACTAAGCAAACCAGGCTAAATGAGTATATTGCCACTGATGTCTGGTGACATGTCTCTCATGGACCAGAGAACAAAAACTGCAGGTACAGAGATAATACACAAGTTTTTCATAGTACTGTACAGTACTATATTCTGGTATTGTGAAACTTGCCTGAAGTAGTTTGTCGTATCTGCTGCTTGAAATTAAGAGCCGGCCATCCTCAAGCTGCATTTCTCGATTCTCCAGCAGGTTATTGAGAACTGGCAATACATTTCTCTCTGCCTTCTCAATGCCTTCAAGAACTAACACACGTCCCTCAGTAGCTGCTCGTACTGCACTCTGAAAATTCATACAAATCCTACATTCATTTTTTTAATACGAGTCAAAGAAAGATGGTACATTACAAACCATCATTGAAATTTTTGTAATTAAACAGATTATATTACTTTAATACCAAAGATTTGACTGTAACACAAAAACCACTTGCATGCTGACATGGCTATCATCTTGATGAAGTACTTCCTACTTACATTCACTTTCAAAATACATATACAAATTAGTCTACATTGAGGGATGAAGGTATCTTGTACTGTACCAGATTTTGATGTAAAGGAATGACTGACATCGCCAAGATATGTGACAAAAGTATACACCTTCTGCTTTGAAATATGAAAATACAGTATATGTATTCATTAGAAAAAACACTGGAATCTGGCAAATATTAAGTCCACACTTTGCAATAAACCTACATCAGTGAACCTACCTTAATTCAATTTTAGTCACTAATATCGTAGCTAATGTACCTCCTAAACTGGTCAGGATATATAATTTGTTCACCTGCTATTAGACATTACCAAGTTTACCCATACATTAAATTTCTCTTCAAATAACTCACCCATGAATGAGACCCTCACATCACTGGTTAATATCAAGTCAAGCCCATGCATTTCTCACTACTGTGTCCAGATTATATAGCATACCAAGAAATAAGGAAACCTTGAAACTCAAGAATGATTTTATAATTGGGAAAACTACACTGATCACTAGATCAAGAAAAACACTGATAGTCACTGGGCTAATTACCTAAGAGCCATTAACTAAGTGTAGTTACAGGACAAGAGCTATGCTTGTATTAACCCATCTTCCCAATACTCTTTGTCATATGACACTGAAATTGCTGACTGCTTTGGAATCTACCACCATCTCACTTAACTTGTTCTAACTACTCTGTCTGCAAAAGAGAACTTTCTAATATTTTTCAGCAGCTTTGTTTCCTTAACTTGAGGTTATGACCTCCTGTTCTTGAAGATGTAGACCTCAAGAATATGAAGACAAGGAACTGGGATAGGATAGAAGGAATGAAGACAGATGAGGAAGAAGGCAGGATTGTAGTGACTATAAAATCAAGGAATGGCAAGCAAGAGGCTTGAGTAATCGCACACCATGAGACCTCAACAAACGGTAATTTGCTACTAAGCATTGAATAGTCTGTCGGTAGTCTGTTCAAATAGACAGGTATTTACTCCACCCTTTTTTTTACAAGCCTATTATTTATTATTTTGTATACAGTACTATGGTTATGTATCTTCAATAATGCCATCATACCTCAATGTTTTTAATGATTTGTGAACAGAATTTAAACTTGGGAGTAACTAATGTCACATAATTCACCTGCAGAAACTGCCTCTTTCCTCTCACCTTCATTGTTGACATCTTTGTCACAAAAAAAATGTATCACCAGCAAGTACATAAGTTCAACATCTACGCATGTTCTGGCATCCCAGACAGTGGGAGACGTTCTAGCCAGACAAGACCCCTCCCCCCCCCCTCACCATCTGCACTGGCGGTCATTATGTCTCCGGCTCCTCGTTTAGAGTAACGTTGACAAGATTTTATGTCACCAGGAGGGGTATATTTTTTTTTTTTTTTGTTTTTTTTTTTTTTTTTGAGATATATACAAGAGTTGTTACATTCTTGTACAGCCACTAGTACGCGTAGCGTTTCGGGCAAGTCCTTAATCCTATGGTCCCTGGAATACGATCCCCCGCCGCGAAGAATCGTTTTTTCATCCAAGTACACATTTTACTGTTGCGTTAAACAGAGGCTACAGTTAAGGAATTGCGCCCATTAAATCCTCCCCGGCCAGGATACGAACCCATGACATAGCGCTCGCGGAACGCCAGGCGAGTGTCTTACCACTACACCACGGAGACTGCAATATATCGGGCAGGACCTTAAACCAGTCTCTCCAGGTCCTCTATGGGTGTTTTCATCACTGCTAGCTGACCATGATCCACCTCCAAGTCATTTTGTGACCAGTTCGTGGAGTTTGGTGTCCAGTATAGTTCAAAAGGACACACAATATCTTGTTTATAGTGTTTAAAGTAAATTTAAATTTCATGTGTTCTTTTAATTATTTCCTATTTTGTAACAGCCAAGATTATTGTAAGTCAAGCTTGAAGTCATTCATTTGTTGTTTCTTTATTTGAAGTAAATTTGTTGTATTTCTTGCTCAAGTTTACTTTAATACTTGTCCATATTTTCACACTGCAACGGTCAAATGCATTTGTTTTTATTATTTAATTTACATGAACCTTAACACCTACTGGGTATGACTGCAGTACCTTCTCATGTAACACTAAGTTTTAGGAATACAAAAAATATTAAACAGCCAAAGTCTCTTACCTGATCATGATAGAACGATGTTCCTCCCCTAATCTCTCTCCTCTGCTTGAGATCAGTGTCAGTTGTATCTCTAGTAAGCGTAACAAATTCCACTTCTCTTTTAGTAAGTTGTAAATATAAGAGTGCCAGGTATCTCCTAAGTGGACCAGGAGGACCAATCAGGAAAATATCTTGCCCTATCTGATCCTTTTGTAGCATCCATCTTAAGTGCTTGAGGACAGACTGAGGAAGTTTCTCAGATACTGCATACAAAATAATTACAAATAAATAATCTTCATTTTCTTTGCATATCAATCTTATTCCTATCTAATTAATTCAAACGGAACTAGTATTCCAAGCATTTTAATAAAACTCCAAATCTAAAAATTTACCATAAGACTTAAAAAGGATATATAGCATATGAGAGGGGAAAATTACTGATAAATCAAAAAGGCATTTCAGAGTATGTAGTAAGAATGGCACTTAAAAAAAAAAAAAAACCTTACAGTATCCAACAGGTACAAGCTCTGGATGTTTGGGCTCTTGTAGTCGCTTTGTTATGCCTCCAATACTAACCACTGTAGAGTCTGCAAAACAAAAAATTATTCCCATGGCATCTCTTCCTATAACTTGTACAGTATTTCTTTATTGCAGCCAGTCACAGAGGGTATCCATACATGTGTCATGTCAGATATGATGTGTCATATATCATATGATATGATGTCATATTTTAGATATATCTCATGATACAAATAACTAGGAAATATATTTGGAATATTAAGCTTACTCATCTCATAATGCATACTAGATAACTAAATACTGTATTCTTACAAATATAAATCCACACCTTCCCCAATCTCAGCACAAACTGAAAGTGGTAAGCACAATACCCAACCATGAAACCTAACCAGTTCTTGATCCCTGAATGTAAAGGAACACATTAGTATGCATTATAGATATGCAGGGACACCAGTAAAGTACTGTGCCTGGTTGAAGAACCACACGAACTTAAGCAAAAGAGGTTATGCAGCAGTCAACGTTGAACAGGGAATGAAGTTTATCAGACCTGAAAGATCGAGGATAAACTCCATGTCCAATATATCCCTCTTGGGGACCAGGAACAAATGGAACACCCAACAAAGATGAGGTCAATTTGATCATGCCCATGTTGAACTACATCATAATGACTTGATGCAGCAGAGGGAAAGAAAGCTGATTTGCAAGCTCCGATCCCAAAAATGTGGGTGGAACTAACAAACTTCACTGAAAGCCAAGGAAAACCACCCAAAATTCGCAGGAGTCAGCACAGCTGACAACAACCCCCCTCCCCCCCATAGCATTGTCAAAGGGGCAAACAGTGAAAGGGCCAATGTGAATCACGAGGAGCGTCACCTTTCAGTAACGGGAACGAGCAGGGTCTATAAGCAGAATAAGCACACCATGGAAGAAATGCAACAGCACGGGAAACTGGAACCGTGAGGGCTTACCCTGAGTAATAGCAGGTGTGGCCCCAGCCACATGGGCTGGGGGCCACACCACACCTTTAAGGGAACCTGACAGCCGAGTGGACAGCGCTTGGGATTCAAAGTCCTGAGGTTCCGGGTTCAATCCCCGGTGGAGGCGGAAACAAATGGGCAGAGTTTCTTTCACCTTGATGTTCCTGTTCACCTAGCAGTATAGGTACTTGGGAGTTAGACAGCTACTAGACGGGCTGCTTCCTGGGGACGAGTAACAAAAAGGAAGCCTGCTCGAGAACCGGGCCTCAGGGACGCTAAGCCCCGAAATCATTTCAAGATAACCTTAAGATAAGAAGCCCTACTAGACCACCGCCAAGCATTAGGAACAGAACTCAGAGTATCCAAAACCTGGTAAATGGATCATAGGAAGAATGTGGTTGTGAAGAAGAAAGCTACGTATCCCTAGCGGGACTAGATGACTCGACTACCTCCATGCTCGAGAAGGAAGGGGCAACTTCCCACAATTTTCCAAGTAAGTTGAATTTCAACTAGACAGTGTATCTATACATAACTGCAAGATCTTAAGTGTTGAAAAGATAGGTAAGAGTCTTACCTATTAAAATAGACACGAGACATTAAAAAGTTATGGAAATAAGCAAATAGGATACTGGGATTTATTTCTAGAAGCATTTTAGCAATAAGGCATTTAATATCTTTCTTCAGCTTTATCTTGCACTTGTTAGACCTCATGGAAATTATGCAGTTCAGTTTTGGTCTCCGTACTATTAAATGGACATAAATTCACTTGAATGCATAGAAAGATAAGAAACTTAACCCCCTAGAATTAGAAACCTCCCTTCAAGAAGATGAATTAAAAAAAGTTAGTGGCATTCTCTACAAGGAAAAAGAATAAAGGAAGACATAATTAAAGTATAAAAATTGGATAAAAGGGTATAATAAAGATATACAGTAAATAATATTTTAACACTATTAACTCGACAAACCTGAACTTTGATGAAGATTCACATATATGCCAGAAACTGGATTTCCATGAATACAAGGCTTCGCCAAAATTCGGCTAAGCACATGAAGGCGACTTAATAATATTCGAGACATCATCTGGAATAATTGAATATAATGAACCATTAATGATTATCTTACATTTAATTATGACTCAGATCTTAAAAAAAAAAAAAGGCATCAAGAGCAAATTGATCAGTAGGTCAATGAGTTAATATGAAATGGGCTGTTACAAATCAAAATTTGTTACCTAGCTGTTTACAAAAGTATCAGGCATTGAATGTAATAAAACCACCATTCTCTGATGTAGTCTACCACCAACCAGGACCAGAATCTAGTTCACTCTGTGAGGCAAAGGGAGGTTGAAAATCTAAGAATCTACCCAAAACCAAGAAAAACCCCACCAGAAACCTTAAGCACAATGAAACAAGCAACTTCTGAATAGAAATATATAATCCAAAAATAACAAAGCAAACGAATATTGCCTGGATGTAAGCACACTAGCCACGTTGCTCCTCACAGCCACTAGGTGGCGACCCAAGTCACCTGAAGCTCAAGCTAGCTCACACCCCTAAACTCACAAGAAACTTGAAATGAATCCCACCACCCAACAATGAAGAAGGGAACAGGGCAGGGGTCTGGAGCTTCTAAGAGCTCCACAAGAAAAGGGTGTTTTATCATATACAAAACAATGCTTTATTCCTAGGAGGGGCCTCTTCAGTAGCTTCCAGATGTTCATCTCACAAAGGCAAGGCCCAAAGGTCTGAGATAGAAAAGCAGGAAGGTTGATCTATGGATGAAGAAGGAACTGTTGGGCCTTGAGGGAACCCCACAAGCCAAAGCTGAAAGTGCAACTCAAATGTGGTAAGACCAAGGGGCATCGAGTTCAAAGCCCAACCAGGACACTTGAAATGTAGAGCAAAGGGCAGAGGACAAACCAAAGGCAAAACAAAACCAACATGCAGGAAAAAACCCAATCTAGGGACCAGAATTTGGAGAATCAAAGTTCCAGAACCCCAGGAACTAGAAGACTTTCCAACATCAAACTTTTCGAATATATAGTACAGTACTAGCAAGCAACCAGGAAACCAGTTTAATGGGAACTAAGGAGTAAGTTATTAAATTAAAAATTAAAGACCAACATGTCCTCAAAATCAAAGTACTGTACTGTAAGAGGGTGCAAATCCAGACCCGCCAGACCTTTGAGTAATCCAGACAAAAGTGAGTCCCAGTTCTGTTTGCCAAATTTTGTTAAACACAAACATTAAACGAAAAGTTCCAAAGTGTGTTTGTACAAAATGAAATCTTCAGGGAACCAGACACAATAAGAATTCCGGAGAACAACAGAGCACATAGAGGTGTTTAGAGACGAAGTGAAAAAAATGCTCAAGAAGCTAAGCAAGGACAAAGCAATTGGTCCAGATGGAGTTTCACCATGAGTTCTGAGAGAATGTGCACCAGCATTCCACTTCAACTGATTTTTCAGGCATCCCTGTGTAAAGGAGCTGTAGCTGATGTGTGGAAAAGGCTACCATCATTCCAATCTACAAAAGTGGCCACAGGGAAGACCCCCCTCAATTATAGACCTGTATCATTGACGAGTGTAATAGTCAAAATATTTGAAAAAATAATTAAAACTAAATGGGTAGAACACCTGGAGAAAAACAATATAATATCAGACAGTATGGTTTCGATCTGGAAGATCCTGTGTAATGAATTTAGGTTAGGTGAGAACAAGTTAGGTGAGAAGGTGGTGGAGGCCAAAACCGTCAGTAATTTCAAAGCTTTATATGACAAAGAGTGCTGGGAAGATGGGACACCATGAGCGTAGCTCTCATCCTTTAACTACACTTAAGTAATTACAGTGCCAAAACTTCCAAACACCATAAGCTTGGAAACCACCAAGGCTAGAGCCAAGCCAGAAGAAACCAGATCAATACTTGCTTGCTGATCCTAATGTTGATATGATTATCACATTAAAGATTAGCAAAGCAAATCACCAATTTTTATTCATGGAAATTTATTTCAATGATCAAAAGCAAAAATTTATTTAAACTACTATATTTCAAAAGGAAGGCAACTCTTTTAACACTACAGTACTGTAATAGCATGCTGGCATATGATACTGCAAGTGAAAAATTTAGCAACTTATTTATAATTACTACAGAAATGCAAGCAGCAGAAAACTGTAGTATTCTCTGAACAACTTTACGCCTTTTACGTAATTTCAACAGATTTTTTTTTAATTGTCAAATGAAGCGAGTTTAGTAACTACTTGTACATCACATATATCCAAAATATAAATAACAGTACATAGTACCCTGTGGTTTTTAAATACTCCCAAATATATATAAAATTACAAGATTTAATATTTATATCAAATTATTAATGCAGAGAATTACAAGTCTATGGAATATTAATGTAAATGTTAAATTCCATAAAAGATTTGCACTGGTGAAGAGTAGCACCAGTGTTGGGACACCAAAGACTACCAACATACAGTTAAAAGAGCCAAAATTAAATATCAATATTATAATACAGTATTTATAATTGTAATTTTTTATTCTAAATAAAACTAATGTATTATGCACAAATGCACTATATATATATAGTGCTTAGAAGGTGCAACACAAAACAAATGATCAATATATATGCTGTAGTTATATGACCATGTGCCATATGACCAGTTATATAACCATTTTTGGTTTCCAATCATTTAAATATTAGCTTCAAGTATACTATTTTATTTAGGTGTGTACACACATACATGAACAGTGGAGGATACATAGGTACGACGAGTACAATGCATAATGCCATTAATACACAGCATAAAATTATATTTAGTATCAGTACTAAATACCAATTTTTTTTATTTCACTTCAGTAATTCTATTGCCTTTGAATAAGAAAACAGTAGCCAACAGAAGTTAGTGTAAATACCGTACAGTATACTGTACATAAACTATTCCACCATATGAATCCTATTATGAATAAAGCTGCTAGTCACAGGGTGTAGACCACTTGACGGTACCCTCGCCAAGGCCAGCCAGGAGCTACACCCACCTTGGTACACAGGCACCCATTATTTGTACCTTCAAAAATATATATATACACTGTACCTGTAGTGTAATTGCAGCTATCAGATTCTTTGTATTAAGAAATATACATTAACATTAAACTACCGTGTAATCTGAACACAAATATGTACACCACCTTTCAGAATTCCACGTTACTCGGCCCCTGTGCATTTCCCAATTAACAATTGCGAGATACTGTATTTCTCCTTTAACAGACAGTGGTTGTTCCTGCTGCCTAGTACTTAACACTAGGCCGGACTTATGGCTGTTGTTGTTGAGTTAGAAGCCACCGGGACATACCCCAGCCTCCACCTGTGTTACACAATGTTTATCAGGCCGCTCCGGTGATCAGCTGATCTTCATAACAAGAAGTGAACCTCCCGGAACAACCCGCAGTATTTACTGACTGTCAACTGTGTGCGGGAGGTGTCTCAGGTTGTGCTGGAGGAGTGGCGCCTCTGGCTGGGTTGGGCACCCCGCCGCCAGGGGACACTCCACATTGTATTAGAAACTTTACCTTAATTAATTTACCTGACGTTTGGTGCCTTCTTTTGATAATTACTTACTTACCTGAGGTTCATCATCTCTAGTGGCCTCGACGGGGACAGAAATATGTGTAAAGGAACCTAGTCTATGGAACTCTCTAACGAATTAAAAAGCTGTTCAACCTATATGCTTTATTCAGAAGTAAAACTAAAAAAGTACCTAATTTCATCCTCATAGTTTCCTATCTAGTGCTTCAAACTCGCACTTTATCTTGTGTTACCCACTCCCCCAACATATGTGCCTAAACCATACAACTTCACCATTGTAGATTGATTGATAAAGATTGATACTGTAAAGATTATCTGCTAGATTAAGGACCTGCCCGAAACGCTGTGCGTACTAGTGGCTTTACAAGAATGTAAATACTGTACTATCCAATGTATTCTCACAAACCCAATGTACCTTCTTGTATATATATAAATAAATAAATAAATAAAATAAATAAATTAAGCCACCCAAGAGGTAGCACGGGCATGGATAGCCTGTAATCACTATTGTAGTCATTGCTATCATCTTATATCATGGTTGCGAGGCTAGCTTCCTTCAAGACCAAGCAGAAGGAAGAGTGATAATTATTAATTAATTATATTATTATAATTATTATTATAATAATAATTGTTGTATTTAATAATTATCACTCCTTCTGCTTGGTCTTGAAGGACGCCGGCCTCGCAAACATGATACAAGATGATATATCATGGTTGCCGGCCTCGGGTGAAAGAAGGCTATGGCGATCTCTGGAAGCCGTAGGTGCGGAACTCGGACGTCCACCTCCTGGGGCTCGTGCGGCCCAGCAAGCTCTGCTTCAGGAGGCTGGGGTCGTTCTTGCCCTTGATGGGGTGGTTCTTCTCCGGCCCCGACCACGGCGGTCTCCGGGTTTGGAGTCCCTGTTCCTTCTTTCACCAACTTCGAGGTCAACTCCGGAGCTCACAGTTCCTGTAACGGCGCTGAAACCAATCGTACTGGCGTTTGCCTTTCCTTGGAGACTTTCGGCGCCGTGGAGAGGGGAGAACCTGCTGCATGGGTAACAGCTTCTCCATATCAACCTACCCTGCCACTCTAGACCGACAACCAGAGCGCAACTCCATAGTCTCCTGAGACTGATGGATGCCTACTACTATGTTGAATGCAAATTTTACTACAATGTACCTAAAAATAATCCTCGAATTATGCTACAATGTGTAATCGACTGTTGATAATCCTCAAATTTTACTATAATGTACTTCAAACTTTCTTACAATGTACCAATTAACATTTTTCAGTTTTGCTAAAAATTACCTACTTAATAAAAGCTGCCAGTTTGGCAGCAGGATGCTGCTTCTGGAAACTTTTCTTATTAAGACTACTTATATAGCCCAGTTGATCAGGCTACGGCCTCACGGGTGGGGTCCACGGTTCGAGAATGGAATACCTACTTAATATTATCTGTTAGATTAAGGACCTTTTATCGCATAGAGTTTTTGATCTCGCATAGAGAAACGCTATGCGTATTCGTGGCTTCACAAGAATGTAAAAAATCAATGCTATGTATTCTCATAACCCCACTGTATCTTGTATATATATATATATATATATATATATATATATATATATATATATATATATATATATATATATAAATAAATAAATAAACAATATAGTTTTGTTGTTTATTTAATGAGAAACAACTTACTGTAAGCTTTTTTTATTGTGTTTTGATTTTAAATACAAAATAACAATTATGAACTTAATTTATAATTGTACCTTCCTTCTGTTTTAATTTTCAATAAAAACCAGGTGGTGTGGGCCCGACGTCCCGGGCCCACACCACCTCCCGCTGGAGGACGGGGGCTACCAGTCGACCTCCCGGGCCCACACCACCTCCCGTTGGAGGACGGGGGCTACCAGTCGACCTCCCGGGCCCACACCACCTCCCGCTGGAGGACGGGGGCTACCAGTCGACCTCCCGGGCCCACACACCACCTCCCGCTGGAGGACGGGGGCTACCAGTCGACCTCCCGGGCCCACACCACCTCCCGCTGGAGGACGGGGGCTACCAGTCGACCTCCCGGGCCCACACCACCTCCCGCTGGAGGACGGGGGCTACCAGTCGACCTCCCGGGCCCACACCACCTCCCGCTGGAGGACGTGGGCTACCAGTCGACCTCCCGGGCCCACACCACCTCCCGCTGGAGGACGGGGGCTACCAGTCGACCTCCCGGGCCCACACCACCTCTCGCCACCGTCCTGAATTGGCGTCACGGGACTGGACCAGTCGGAAGTCTTGACACTGGAGCAGCATGAAGTAGGGCCAGAACACCTGTTGTCTGCTAGTCTGGCTCAGGTCACCTAGAAAAACAAAAACATATAAAGCCGTTGTTTATTGTATAATGTACCAAAAATGTTGATTAAAACTAAGTTTACAATAAAAACCTTATATAAATAAAGCCTTTCGCACTATGTTGGATTGCGTATCATGTTTAAAAGCTATAAGTAATGCATTATTGTTTTTATTTCACGGTAGAATGGTAGTAGTTATAGAAGAACATATATAAAGGAAACTGCTGAGAGTTTATATTAGACAATGCAAGGCCGCTCTCCACTACTAACGTCACGCACCCACATGTAAGGAAACACTGAGCTTCTGGACGTCAACCGACACTGTCTTCTAACTCATTAAGTCTACATTTTCCAACAAGCACAGTTGAATGACCCCAGACAACACTTGTCCAGGTGCGGGCCAAGACCACGAGCAACAGAACTCTATCCGCGACCAGCGCACTTGCCGGCTTTTATGTAAGTTAGATTAGACTATAAAAGTACTACAATCACCTTCTGTGGTTGATTGTTCAATAAATCACTGAACTATATGTTTAACAGATTTCTAACCGTGTCCATGCAGGACAGAAGACAATGTAACTATATATGCTGATTAGCATTGTGAATGTGTGGCCACGTCTGAGGTAGAACAAAAAAACGCCGGTTCACAGTGCTCACCACCGTGGCCACAGTGCCACGGTGGTGGCACTGTGGCCCTTTCAACACAACCCTTTCTTGTGTTGAGTCGTGTGCACCGATGGCAAGCCGAGATGTATGCTCACAGGACTTTCTCTGATAGTTTGTTGCAAGTGTCATCACAGAAAACATTGGACAGCTCTCATTAAATTCAAAGTCAAAATAAGAACGAATCCTCAGCATAGCCCATTAAAAAATAGTGTGTAATCAGTTATTACATACATTTGTGACCTATTATTTACTATAAATCTGTGTGGAATCTCTGCTGTTCTCAGATTCCTGAATTCATCATTGAAATTTATCTCCCATATTACTCATCATTAAGAATTTGGTTTAAGAAAAATATAATCACTGCAACATTTAAATAATAGTTATACGCTGTATCACTTAGAATAAATATCTAGAGTACTTGCATATAATAGTTCGGGCGCTTGCGTAAAATACTCGAGTGCTTGTGTAAAATAATCGAATGCTTGTGTAAAATATTCGAATGCTTGCGTAAAATACCCGAGTGCTTGCGTAAAATACCCGAGTACTTGCGTAAAATACCCGAGTGCTTGCGTAAAATACCCGAGTGCTTGCGTAAAATACCCGAGTGCTAGCGTAAAATTAAGACATCTAACCTTTGAAATAGTCATCATGAACTTCCATAGCGATCTGCTTGATGTTCCTGAGGACGTGTGGAGAGTTAAGGAGCATATCCTGCAGGAAGTCCACCTCCGACAGCTCCACGTCCAGCTTCACGTAGTCGATCACCTGACCCGCGAGTCCCAGCTGGTTCACCAAGTTCTCGAAGCGATCCACCTGAGGAAAGGAAATATTAGTGATCCTCTACACACAGTAAATGTGAAGGCATCCACTAATAAGTCACAGTTAATATAACAAATATATCATATATACCTCACAGTAAGAAAAAATTCATATTAAGCAGCCGAGAAATCCGCTGAAATCCTAATCTGCGCAGCTGTTTAAATTGTAGTTATACTTTTCATCATCAACGATTCATCGAGGTATGATTGAAATAATTAACAAATCAAATAGAAAAAATCACATATGGTGATTAAGGAGTTATTTGAGAATGAAAATATAAACATGCAACTGTACTCAAGTGTCCAACAATTACGATGGGTACGAGGCTGTGTGTAGTATGCCGTAAGCATATGCTAATAAATAATTGCTACCATATAAATCCTGAAACATGGTGTAATTTTAGGTGTTAACGCTCTATTGATTCAATAAGTAACGAAAAATTGTTGTCAATGGATTAATAACTAACGGAGACAAAGCTTTAATAACTTACAGAAGGGGTGGTGCCACCTTTCTTTGACCATAATTATGAATAATCTAATTAAATCACAATAGTGTCGCCTTCGTTAATTTAATTACAGTCAAAATATGATCTATTACGCACTGATTAAGACAAACAAATAATACATAATCACTTACGATTGTTGTACTTACGAGTGTTGTACAAAAATATGGATAATATTTGTCACGGAAGCCTCAAGTTGTCAGCCAGGCGGTGCTCCATCCACACTTGCTAACGACATCAGTTGCTAATGTCGTCGCCTTTGTTTAGACCAGCGACACACCATCATTGTCTAGACCAGCGACACACCATCTTTGTCTAGATCAGCGACACACCATCTTTGTCTAGACCAGCGACACACCATCTTTGTCTAGACCAGCGACACACCATCTTTGTCTAGACCAGCGTCAAGCCTTGTCTAGACCAGCGACACACCATCTTTGTCTAGACCAGCGTCAAGCCTTGTCTAGACCAGCGGCAAGCCATCTTTGTCTAGACCAGCGTCAAGCCTTGTCTAGACCAGAGACAAGCCATCTTTGTCTAGACCAGCAACACACCGGTTTTGACTTGCTCGGCGACTGTACGCCATCTTTACATTTTCAAACCTTATAATACCTCAAGTCTGGTGCTGTACCCAGATTTTGCTAGTGGAGGCTAATAGATCAGCCTTACATTTTATGTTCTCTCCTGATTTTGTAGTCAGAGTTTATTTGTCTTTGTATTGAGGCTAGTATTTTCTCCCCTGATTCCATGTATGACTAACCATCCTATGAGATAGCAATATTAGATGAACTTATAGCTAGTTTTTTTATCTACACTGTGTGATCTGTCATATAGAATAGGGCAGGAGCATATTGCTGTGTATACCTAAGCTTATTAATACAAAAAAAATATTTTGAATATATTATGTAATTTATTATGATGTTTATCCTGACCTTAAAACTGAGTTGTTTTATCAATGAATATTGCGAGAGACTACATCATAAGTATATTACAACAGTAGCCTACCTTCCGAGTGGAAAATACGTTCAACATGCCAACGCTCTTCCCGCCTTTGAAGTTACCGATGCCCATGGAAAAAAATGTAACGTTGTCGGAACGTTTGTGGTCCTTTTTCCCCATGGTGGGGTCGTAAGCATACACCTGTCAACCACAAATATATAATATTAGCTTGATAAAAATGTGAAGCTTTTACATTAACATTTGTACAGATCAGAAATGTACGTCTGTCAGTCCCGTATAAGAGTAGTTAGCTCAAATGTTACTTCCATCTGAGTTGTGGGGACTTTTCCACATCCACAACCCAAGTGATGCAATATTTACACCAGTTGTTCCACAACATATAACAGAAACATCAATTATAATAACAGTATTAATCCTGTAGGCTTCCAAGAAACCATAATAAAGCAGCGAATATCAAATTCAGGCTTCACACAATTATCAATATGTGTCAATATTGTCATTATATTTATTTTTCGGAGAAATTACTTCTAACTAGAAACCTATTATATGTGTACATGACCAGGGAGAGCTGCTATCTACATGACACAACGACCATAATGTATGTTTCATGCGAATAATAAATATATTAAGGCTCGTTTACAAATAGTGAACCTTAGGAAACATCACATATATAGGCTCGTTACAATTTATTATAATAAAACAGATGGCTTACAATGCATAAATTATTAAGCAGAATTATTCTGGTGAACCACAGGAACATACGATGCCACGTGCAAAATTTGCCTTCCACATTAATTAAAATAATTAAAATATATACATCTCAGTTGCTCCAGATATTGCAATACTTAAAATTTAGTTGCACAGATATGATCACAGTGTATATGATAATGTATGGTTGTCAACAAGCCTCTGAGATCATAAGCACTGATCAGCTGTGTTTGGCGGGAAAAGTGAGGACTTGCTAGTGCACCTGCGAGGCGTCAGTACCAAGTCATCAGTGGAGCGGGACTCGCGACGCATTACAGTGTGTCTTGGGCACGTCCTAAATCCATCTGAACTCCACAACTTGTGTATCAGCTTAATCATAAAATATCCGTAAAGTATCTAGAAACAATGCAGATGATGTGAGATGTAGTGACTGTCTTGAATGATTAATTAATACAATAATAATTATCGTTCCATAAACTCCACGGAAAATGAAACATTTGACATGCAGTTGTCTTGTTTATGCGAAATTAAAAAAGAAGCTTGCTTGTGATCTCAGAGTTAACTATAGTGACTTCATACAAGTATAAGAGATATATTCAGAGAGTCTGCTGTGTTTGATAATTTAAGTGATAAATAACAATTAAGATGGTCATCAGTCCACAGTTACTGATGTACAGTGTACGAGACACAGCTGTACCTGTCACGTCAAGACAACACAGGATCTCATACAAAACGTAAGTACAACTTACGTTTAGATCATGTCAACTTTTAACTTAAAGTTGTAAGTATAGTTAGGCGTAGGTTAGGTTAGATATTTAGGTTCTTTCGGTAATTATTTGTATTTCTAGTACGTAAGTGAAGCATTTACAACAACCCGTCCTCGACTCAAGTCCATTACATCCAGCGGTCGTCCCCATAGACGCATTCATAAATTTTAACTTGCTGTTCATTCAAAACAAGAATTTTCTCAAATATAAATTATAATATATTAGCATATTGTTCATATATAGGCATAGGTTAGGTATTTAGGTTCGGTTGGCGATTATTTGCATTTGTAGTACGTGGGTGAAGCATTTATACAACCCGTCCTCGACTCAAGTCCATTACATCCAGCGGTCGACCCCACAGACGCTCTCATAAATTTTAATATGCTGTTCATTCAAAACGGGAATTTTCTCAAGTATAAATTAATATTATATTAGCATATTGTGCATATATAGGCATAGGTTAGGTTAGGTGTTTAGGTTCTGTTGGCGATTATTTGTATTTGTAGTACGTGGGTGAAGCATTTATAGCGTTGTGATTCGAACAAAATTCGTCAGTGAAACACTTGTTCCGGATATGTTCGAACTTCAGCAGTTGTGAGTCGTGTGTAAACCGCTTTTCATTCATAAACAGGGGGTTTGGCGGGTGGATGGAATCACTTTTGGATCTTTGTTTGGAGGACGGGCTGATTTATAGCGATGTGGTTCGAACAAAACTCGTCAGTGAAGCACTTGTTCCGGAAGTGTTCGAACGAAATCAGTTGTGAGTCGTGTGTAAACCGCTTTTCATTCATAAACAGGGGGTTTGGCGGGTGGATGGAATCACTTTTGGATCTTTGTTTGGAGGACCGGCTGTTTACAGTATTGCAATTCGAACAGAGGTCGTCAGCGAAGTACTGTTCGAGAAATGTTCGGCCGTCTTCAGTTATGAGTCGTGTGTAAACCGTTTTCCTTTCATAAACCAGCCCGTCCTCTAAACAAAGACCCAAAGTCCATTCCAGGCACCTGCCAAACCCCCTGTTTATGAATGAAAGACGGTTTACACACGACACATCAGTGATGACGTTCGAACACTTCCGAAACAAGTGCTTCACTGACGAATTTTGTTCGAATCGCAACGCTGTAAATGCTTCACCCACGGATTACAAATACAAATTATCGCCAACAGAACCTAACCTAACCAGTGCTTAAATATGTACAATATGCTAATATAAAATAATATTATTTTATATTTGATAAAATTCCTGTTTTGAATGAACAGCATGATAAAATTGATGAATGCATCTGTGGGGTCTGTTACGTACCCCTATAAGATACGTAAGAAAATATATTAATATGTACATTTATAATTGTGTATAAATTACAAGCATGTATATTGATATACTTATATGTCTATGCAAACGTACATTCATGTTACAGTGTTGGCGTTAGGCCCAACGTATCGTGGGAATGATTGTTTTATTTCTTTGTGTGCTCAGTTTTCCCACGGGAACTAATGATTTATATGTGATCATAAGTGGGTAACAGAGGTGAATAATAATTGAGTGAACTGTATCTGGCAAATTGTCGTGGGATCGTCCGTTGCTGGGTGTGCATGCCATTATTCCCTTCTGTATGCATATTTTAATTACTATGTAAAGAAGTACTTACTTTATTTGTGTATATCAATATGTATTAATTATTCATTAAGTTAGTTTAAGATTACTCTTGTCACAATGTATTGCTCCATTGTTGAAATAAATAATATTGTAACTTTGGCAAATTGTTCGCGGGGCAAGGCAATGTTTTTTGACTCTCGCGTTATGTTATTCAGTAGCTGATCGGGAACCAGGGAGATAACATCTTGTTGGAGTTAAGTTATACATTTTTGTTCTGTCATAGCCATACATATAATATTTTAATTTAATGTCTGGAAGATACAGTGATATTTTTAATGTGATATATTGTGACCATATAATCATCTGTTTGCTATTGAGATTTATTGAATACATATATAATATTATTGTATCTATTCTTCAGTCCTAAGGAAGATTTTATTTTTGTGCTCATTACTTATCAAGGGGTTATACTGGTGATTCGCTATTGAGAACAGCAGTTGTGTCGTATCCCTAGACGTAATTAAAGTTTGGCTGCTGTAGGATCACGAGCCGTAACGTACGATAGGTAACAGGGTCGACCGCTGGATAGAATGGACTTGGTCCGAGGACGGGTTGCATAAACAGGGGGTTTGGCGGCTGGATTAACGAGCATTTGGCTTTTGTTGATGAAGACGTGCCACATATAGGTTGCATGAACATGTATACAAGAGCATACTGAGGATGCTCCGTGGTCATACTGGGTATGTTCCGTGGTCGTACTGGGTATGTTCCGTGGTCGTACTGGGTATGCTCCGTGGTCGTACTGGGTATGTTCCGTGGTCGTACTGGGTATGTTCCGTGGTCGTACTGGGTATGTTCCGTGGCCGTACTGGGTATGTTCCATGGTCGTACTGGGTATGCTTCATGGTCGTACTGGGTATGCTTCATGGTCGTACTGGGTATGCTCCGTGGTCGTACTGGGTATGCTCCGTGGTCGTACTGGGTATGCTCCGTGGGCGTACTGGGTATGTTCCGTGGTCGTACTGGGTATGTTCCGTGGCCGTACTGGGTATGTTCCATGGTCGTACTGGGTATGCTCCATGGTCGTACTGGGTATGCTTCATGGTCGTACTGGGTATGCTCCGTGGTCGTACTGGGTATGCTCCGTGGTCGTACTGGGTATACCACGTGGTCGTACTGGGTATGCCCCGTGGTCGTACTGGGTATGCCCCGTGGTCGTACTGGGTATGCTCCGTGGTCGTACTGGGTATGCTCCGTGGTCGTATTGGGTATGCTCCATAGTCGTACTAGGTATGCTCCATGGTCGTACTGGGTGTACTCCATGATCGTACTAGGTATGATCCATGGTCGTATTAGGTATGATCCATGGTCGTACTAGGTATGCCCCGTGGTCGTACTGGGTATGTTCCGTGGTCGTACTGGGTATGATCCGTGGTCGTATTGGGTATGCTCCATGGTCGTACTAGGTATGCTCCATGGTCGTACTGGGTGTACTCCATGATCGTACTAGGTATGATCCATGGTCGTACTAGGTATGATCCATGGTCGTACTAGGTATGCTCCATGGTCGTACATGGCCGTCCTGATCTATGAATTATATCTGACATTTAAATCACTTCATTGATAAACAGATCATTGCCAAACATTGCGGTAGTGTTTGCCTGCAGAATTATTGTAGGATTTGGTAGTTTACGGAAGTGTCGTCAGAGTTGTCCGGCAGTTAAGATAATTATATATATAGCAGCGCTGGTAGAGCTGGTAAGTACATAACGCCTGAAAGCTGAGAACTGAAACACTTACCGAAGGATTATACGCTGTCACGATAGATGTGGAGTGGCAGGGCTTGACACCAGATGACAAGATAAGGCGAGGTTTATTATACCTAACTAAGAAAATCTGTGTATAATATTTGCATCTCACAAGAGTAGTCCTGTCATGCCTACACCTCACAGGCTATAGGATCAAAATAATGCTTCGCAAAGAAACTGATTCATCCTAATTTATTCATGAAATCTGTATAAATCAATCATCACCTCGTACCTTGCAGCCATATTTGGCGATTTCGTCCTCAAAGGACCACTCGTTGTTGACACCGAAGGAGAAGACGATACAGTTGCCGGGCTTAATGTTGAACCTCTTGTCCAGACACACAAACTTGGCTCCGTCGGCGGGAGCCGGTGGCTTGCCCCCAAACTGTACCTATATGAACATGTAACAAAATTAATATATTTACCATATGCAGTATGTGTTTCTTATCGTGGTTACTAACAAAATATATATCGATATTCAGGTAATAAAACAGGTAATGCCACCCAACACTGGCAACACCACCAGCCTGTGTAGTGTAACACAAGGTACTTAAGCTTCAACAAGGCACGGAACAAGTACGGACGACTTACTATATTTGTACAATTACTCTGTGTGTGGTGGAGATAGGCTCTATACTGCTCGATGGTCTCCAGCCCCACTACTGGACACGGCTTGCCACACTTCTCTCCCTCTGATAATGTGGACATTAACATATATCTTCACCATTACACAAGACAATAAGTCTAAACTGTAGGCTGAGGCACATATATATATATCATGGTTACTAGCAATGTTTTAATGTATGAATATGTAAAAATAACTTTCTATTGTGCACTGCCCCACAAGGGCAGGGATGAGTTCATAAGGGATGCTAATGTCTTCATAAGTTCATAAGTGATGTATAAGTCGTAAGTTCTTGTGTTCATAAGTGATGTTCATAGAGTTTATAAGTGTTCCTAACACTTCATAAGTTCATAAGTGATTGAACTTGAGCAGAGTCCATAAATGATGCACAAGTCTTCACCATTAAATGCAAATTCATATTCTACCATTGAAACGTATATATTGCCTGCTGTACATAGATTATATAATATATTAAAAACTCATATATATAAGTTTGGTTATGAATACATCAGCTCGTAAAATCAAAGCTTCACTGTGTAGTAAAAACAAATCAGAAAGGATAATAAAGGTGTGAGTGGAGTGCCACAAGATTCCATTATGGGGCCTTTGATCCCTCGTTGAAGTGAAGAACATTGACTGAAACAAAATTACTTCAAACCTCATCCTAATATATGCCGGTTATAGTAAACGTTTTTTTTATTTTAAATGTAACAAATATACGGAGCCACATACTGACACTACCCTGAGATAAGATATATAAAACGCTTATGTGTTCACTTACGAGATCTGTGCCTCTAATCTCGATTATGGCTACTTAGTATGTATATATATATATATATATATATATATATATATATATATATATATATATATATATATATATATATATATATATATATATATGTGTGTGTGTATATCACGAATATCTCCAGTGGTGCTCCATGGCCCGATATATCTTAAAAAGTGGTACTGGGGCCGACCCCAACTGGCCTGTGACATTCCCGCGTGCACAAAATTCTAAGCAGCTCCTATGAGTGTTTCGGAAAAAAAATATTGAATTTTTAACGAATTTTAAAAGTCGTTTAGGCGCCAACATTAAGACTTGGACATATATTTTACTGCCGGAAATATGTCATTTCATTGGAAACTCAAAATCTATATTTTCATGGCCGTCACGACGATTTAACACTAAAGCTGCAAGTGGAAATCAAAAGAGTGAGGTACAAGAAACGATGTTTTTTTTTATTATTATTTTCTACCACAGACGTGGCCACACGATGGGTCACAGGTGATGTCTGTGATTGGTCACAGGTGATCTCAGGTTTTAGAAATATGAAAATGCAGAGAAAATTAGATGTAGCTGATATATTGCACCGCACAACACATGTGGTTGGGGATAAAATGGCTACGAGGAAAACATATAATTCTTATTTTACACACACATTATATATATATATATATATATATATATATATATATATATATATATATATATATATATATATATATATATATATATATATATATATATATATATATATATATATATATATATATATATATATATATATATACAATACAATACAATACAATTTTATTTAGGTAAGGTACATACATACAATAAATATTTACAAGGATTGTTTGACTTATAGGTATAGCTAGTACATACAATGCCTAAAGCCACTATTACGCAAAGCGTTTCGGGCATAATGTTTATATATATAATATATAATATATATATACCAAAAAAATATATAATACCAATATATAGACCAAAAAAATATATAATACCAATATATTTCTTTACAATTAAAGAGAAGACGTACCGCCAGTGTCAAACTTCTTCGTCTTCCACACGAAGGTGTTGTCCTTTCTGAAGGAAAACAGCAAAAAAACATATTATATTTACACGTGTAACAACAAATCTTAAAACTTACAACAGTCCAGTGATGTCATACCAATAATATAACAGAAATTGAAATTGAAATTGAAATAAGTTTGAGGTAAAATAAACACAAAGGGATGAGGTGGCTCAAGCTATTCTCACCCCGTTCAGTACATCGTGTTAATACATACATAGACACACATCACAAACAATAAACATATTACCAAACATTCTGAGAGATAAACATATACATTTCCTAATATAACAGATGCACGCACAAATCACATCAACGTGGCAACCCGTCTTACAAATAAAGCGAAGCAAGTTCACGTACACTCTCCCTAAGGGCAAAAATTGTCGTACTACAAATTGGTCCCGGCTCGCGAAATTGATATACTGTCCCGTTTTCTGTTTTGGGTCCTCTGGTAGGGTAGGATAGGGGACTTTAATACGACAGTTTCTTGACGTTGGAAAGCCTAAGGAGGACGGGCTCCACACCCAGGTTCAAATACTCCTCATTTTCTCTATATAACAACATGATCATGGTCAACATGTACAGCTTCACAGTGGTCATGGTCAACATGTACAGCTTCACAGTGGTCATGGTCAACATGTACAGCTTCACAGTGGTCATGGTCAACATGTACAGCTTCACAGTGGTCATGGTCAACATGTACAGCTTCACAGTGGTTATGGTCAACATGTACAGCTTCACAGTGGTCATGGTCAACATGTACAGCTTCACAGTGGTCATGGTCAACATTCACAGCTTCACAGTGGTCATGACCAACGTGTACAGCTTCACAGTGGTTATGCTCAACGTGTACAGCTTCACAGTGGTTATGATCAACATGTACAGCTTCATAGTGGTCATGGTCAACATTCACAGCTTCACAGTGGTCATGACCAACGTGTACAGCTTCACAGTGGTTATGATCAACATGTACAGCTTCACAGTGATCATGTGTACAGCTTCACAGTGGTCATGACCAACGTGTACAGCTTCACAGTGGTTATGATCAACATGTACAGCTTCACAGTGATCATGTGTACAGCTTCACAGTGGTCATGATCAACATGTTTAGGAGTAAGTATGATAGGAAACAAGAATGTCGAGGGCTGTTGCAATTGGCTACCGGCGATTGAAAGCCGAGATCAAGGAGCTGACCTCGCCTGTGTAATTACACACATGTAAGCACACATATGTATTCACAAGTATGAGGAATACATAGGAGAGTACACGTTACCACACATTCTGGACTCACCCCATGATCACCATCAGTATTACAAACACAGCGGCGAGTAAACAAGGCAGGTAAAGCTGCTGTGTTTTCACTGGCATCATCTTTGATCTGAAACGAATGAAAAATAAATAAATAAGCCAGGAAAGCTATGCAAGCTTGAATGTTTTGAAAGAAAATCTGCGGGCATGTAAGAAGCCCGCATGTATTGATGCCCGGAACGCTTTGCGTAATAGTGGCTTTAGGCATTGTATGTACTAGCTCTACCTATAAGTCAAACAATCCTTGTAAAAATTTATTGTATGTATGTACCTTACCTAAATAAAATTGTATTGTATTGTAAGCCATTGTTTATATCTTGTTAGGCTCGTAACCCACTTGAAAACTTCATCCATACGCAACTATGTTTTGCGTCTCTCTAATGAGTACAGATTGAGACTTCGATTTGTCTTCGTAGGGAAGGATCCCGATAAAGGTATCTATCACCTTTCTCTGTATTTTCTCAAGAGAATTAATGTCCATTGTGTAGTATGGTGACCAGACCTGTACAGCCTAGCCAGGCCAACCCGTTCTCGCACTTTCTTTAAGTCAATATTGACTTATTAAATAAGTGCATGTGTGACATACTAATTTATTGTGAATATTTTAGTTTACCTTGAAAAGCTTCATAGAAAACACCGACCTTACCTAACCTTCTTAGTATGTTAAGATAAGCATCTTTTTGCTTCGTAATTACAATTATTACTTAACCTATTATAGGTATAGGTTAAGTAATAATTGTAATTACGAAGCAATAAGATGCTTATCTTAACATACTAAGAAGGTTAGGTAAGGTCGGTGTTTTCTATGAAGCTTTTCAAGGTAAACTAAAATATTCACAATAAATTAGTATGTCACATATGCACGTATTTAATAAGTCAATATTGACTATAAGAAAGTGCGAGAACGGGTTGCCAGGCCAGGACCAGGACCTCGCCAGTCCTGGATACAACTGAATGACGATATTCGTGATACTGTTGCTGATGCTTCGTATTATCAATCACATCACATTGTTTGCTGTATTTCTTTCATGATGCGCCCGGCCGAGCACACACACACACACACACACACACACACACACACACACACACACACACACACACACACACACACACACACACACACACACAGCAAAGGAGCTGAACAAAACGGTGTGGAGTAACTTCCGAAATAACAGAACACCAGAAAGCAGAGATACCAGAGAACCCGGAATGAGTGTTAGTGTGAGAAGAGAAGCAGAGAAAAAGTATGAAAATGATATAGCAAAGAAAAGAAAAATTTTCTTAGGCTGTTAAGTTAGGAGAGAAAACTTTCAATTAACGGTTTTCATGACGTTTTGAAACCCTAGGAAAACTTCCTGCCCTCCTAACCTAGTGAAGGGTGAGACCTCAGAGTAGCGTGAAGTGACCAGTGGAGTCCCGCAGGGCTCTGTACGCGGACCTATCTTGCTTCTGATATACGTAAATGATCTCCCAGAAGGTATAGTTTCATTCGTCTCAATGTTTGCTGACGATGCCAAAATTATGAGAAGGCATTAAGACAGATAAGGACTGTTGGAGGGTTCAAGAAGACCTGGACAAACTGAAGGAATGGTCGAACAAATGGTTGTTAGAGTTTAACTCAAACAAATGTAGTTAATGAATATAGGTGAAGGGAGCAGGAGGCCAGGTAGAAGGTATCATTTGGGAGATGAAATTCTTCAAGAGTCAGAGAGAGAGAGACTTTGGGGTTGACATCACGCCAGACCTGTCCCCTGCAGCCCATATCAAGAGAATAACATCAGCGGCATTTGCCAGGCTGGCCAACATAAGAACGGCAATTAGAAACTCGTGTAAGGAATCATTCAAAACTTTGTATACCACATATGTCAGATGAATCCTGGAGTATGCAGCTCCAGCCTGGAATCCATATCTAGTCAAGCATAATACTAAACTGGAAAAGGTTTAAAGGTTTGCCACCAGACTAGTACCCGAACTGAGGGGTATGAGCTACGAGAAGAGACTACGGGAATTACACCTCAGGTCGCTGAAAGACAAGTTAGGGGGACATGATCACTACATACAAGATTCTCAAAGGAATTGATATGTAGATAAAGAAAGGCTATTTAACACAAGGGGCACACTCACTAGGGGACACAGGTGGATACTGAGCGCCCAAATGAGCCACAGAGATATTAGAAAGAACTTTTTTAGTGTTAGAGTGCTTGACAAGGGAGTGCATTAGGCAAGGATGTGGTGGAGGCTGACTCCATACACAGTTTCAAGTGTAGATATGATAGAGCCCAATAGGCTCAGGAACCTGTACATTTTAGTTGATTGACAGTTGAGAGGCGGGACCAAAGAGCCAGAGCTCAACCCCCGCAAGCACAACTAGGTGAGCCTGGTGGATAGCGCCCAGGACTCGTAATTCTGTGGCGCGGGTTCGATTCCCGCACGAGGCAGAAACAAATGGGCAAAGTTTTTTCACCCTGAATGCCCCTGTTACCTAGCAGTAAATAGGTACCTGGGAGTTAGTCAGCTATCACGGGCTACTTCCTGGGGTGTGTGTGTGTGTATGGTGTGAAAAAAAAGTAGTTAGTAAACAGTTGATTGCCAGTTGAAAGGCGGGCCGAAAGAGCAAAGCTCAACCCCCGCAAACACAACTAGGTGAATACACACACACACACAGATATCAGTTACTAGAGCCCAGTAGGCTCAGGAATATGTACACCAGTTGAGAGGCGGAACCAAAGAGCCAGAGCTCAACCCCCGCAAGCACAACTAGGCGAGTACAGAGAGGCGGTATACGAACCTTCCCCAGCGGCAGCTCAACAGTGTATGCTCCAGGTTAACACACTGTAGTGGGTCTCACACTGGCAGTTGCCACATCGTGTAAAAACTCGACGTTTCTACCATACAATACCTTTCTCAACTGATAATTTGAACGTCTCTTGGAATAATCGTTTGGTACCATGCATCGTAATCTTACGAAGCCATAGACGGCTGCAAGCTTACTGATGACAAGAATTTTTGAAAACTGATCAAGGATTTTTTTGTTATTAATACATGAGGTACATCTGCATTTGTGCAGCTACCTTAGACTATATGAAGTGGAGTACAGTGTGTCAAAAAAGCTAACTACGTGATGCTAAAATATCCCCATCACACAGGATGGTTAGTCATACAGAGGCATGTGATAGGCAGTCTGCACTGGCAGACTCCGGATGCATTTTGAGGATATCATCAACACAAGAGTGAATAAGGCAGCAGTGGTAATAAAAGTCCCCATCTCGCAGGATGGTTAGTCATACAGGGCCATATGTTCAGTAGCCTGCACTGGCAAATTTTGGGTGCAATATGAGGATATCCTCAAGAATACGAGAGTGAATAAAGTAATTGCAAAGCTCCAGGTACCTCATGCCAACTGGTCTGAAAGGTCTAGTAACTGGACATTTGGTGATGTAGTGTGGGAGATCATGCCGCTGTTCCTGCTCACAGAATTTGCACCTGGAGTGCTCAGGATTGGGAGATCCCTCACCTGTAGCCACCTGCCACAGGTAACGGTAACCCAACCTGATCCTGGCAACCACTGTGTCGCACAGTCTGGTGGACTTTTGTGCTGCCCATAGATATAGGTTTCAAATCTGAACAAATCATAGTACTTTTAATACTAGTACTTTCAGGTCGTTGGGAGTCAGTAATTTCATGGCTGATCAGACCTGAGTGTTTGGCTGATCAAGGATTCAGTTGCCACATTCACTTCAAGGAGTCACTCTGCAGCACAGGTGAGCTTTACGGGCTATTCATGCCCATGCCACATTTTAGGTGACTTAATTTTGATCAATCAATCACAGGTAAGTAGTGTCAAGCCTGTGGTGCAGCCTTGACACTGCGCCACATATGAGCAATGATGAGGCTTGTGACTACATTTTTTACGTCGTTGCCTCCGAGGCGTCAACGTGACTGTTTTGTGTGTGTACATTTGTATTATTTTAGGTCATATTTCTTATCTGAAAAGAACGCAGTCAGCTATACACTGCTGACGCAGTTTTGAGTTGTCAAAGATAAAGGTTATCCCAACCTACCAATTAACCGAGTGTTGTGTGTGGCTGACAATCAGTAGAGGGTTCCCCGGTGTGTATATGATTATATACACTACTTTATGATTACGGGATCGAGCAATGGGTACCAAGCCTCGCCTTCCTATCTTCTGGTCCATGAACGTTTACTGTTTCTCTCTCGTGTTTCCATTTGATGGTGATTATTGAATATTCCTCAACGCTTCTTGCAGCCCGTTGCTATTACTTGCATCTCTCACGGTGAAGTTTCTTTGGCGACTGTTCGGTTCATCCTTGTCTCCGTCTTCCACTAGTGTTCTATGGTTCTAACCACGAGCCTAGTAGCTCTCATCCTATAACCACATTTAGGTAATTACTTTGGTAATTAAACTCAATCACCTAAACTTAAATAATTAGTTCAGAAGGTATGGTGACAAGAAAGATACTCCTGTGATGGTGAGTAGGATTTATTTGTAATATAAAAATCATTCTCAGCAATTATGAGAAAAGGAACCTTATTTCTAATAATAATAATAATAATAATAATAATAATAATTAATGATAATAATAATAATAATAATTAATAATAATAATAATAATAATAATTAATAATAATTTATGATTATTATAGGTGTAAAAATTAACACTTCATATAACATTACTATTAGTCGGCATTGATATATGTATGCATCGTCATTCTGGCAACACTTACATATGCTCATTCTAGAAACACCCGTCATACATCCTCACTCTAGCGACACTCGCTACACATCCTCACTCTAGGGACAACCGTTGTGCATCCTCACTGGCGACATTTACCCATCCTAACTCTAGCCACACTCACTACACACCTTCGTTCTAGCTACACTCACTACACATCTTTACTCCCTCACTCCAGCATTACCCTGAACACAGTCAAGAGGCGGGACCAAAGAGCCAAAGCTCATCCCCCGCAAGTATAATTAGATAAGTACAACTAGGTGAGTACACATTGCTCCTAAAGACAGTTCTCAAAGTCACTCCAAGTTATCTTCACTGAGGTCCTAGGCACACATTCACTGAGGTCTTGGACACACATTCACTGAGGTCTTTGACACACATTCACTGAGGTCCTGGACACTTTCATATCACTTTAAATTTATCTGTATATATTTAAAAATTAGTTCCTTAACAATTTCTCAGACACCTCACTGAGGTCATCAAAGCTAGATTTGAACAGTACGTTCTTGATGGTAGTACAATATTCAGGAGAAATGAGCAAATATTGTCTATTAAAGACCAGAAAACCCAAAATTATATTCAACATTACTAAAAAAATACCTTACGTTAAAAACATTAACGTTAGAACTGATATTGTTTAACATTAACCCTTCAGGTTGCAAACGATGCTTATAAGCGTTATTTTTTTAGATATACGTTGCCAATCATATTTATAAACAACGGAATAGTGGCAACAATGTTGTTGTTTAAGATTCGCTACCTGGAACAAAATGTTCCAAGTAGCACGGGCTATGGTGAGCCCGTAGTTAGTGGCAAACAAGAAAAATGAGCTGTGGTTGTGGAGACAACTTGAACAGATGTTTCAAATTATAACAAACTCAAAATAAGCACATGTGTGGTCTGGTCAACATACTTTAGCCACGTTATATGACTCATCGCCTGCATAAGCACATGTGGTAAGACATTTCAATTTTATTAGTTCAAGAGGGTTATCTAACACATTTTTGAGCGATATGTTTACGTATTCTGTATGTTTTGTTTGATTTTTTTTTGCAAAGTAATTTGTTATTATTTAAAAAATAAATTAAGTTTTCATCAATTGTACCACTGAAATTCGATTATGTTTTTAATTAATTTATAACCAAATTCTCTATTTTGGACAAATAGTTTTTGAGATGTTGCAAAATTTCAAAAATAATGTATTTGGAATTTATGAGACTCATCAGTGCAATATGTATGTGTACATATATGTGCGTGTGTGTGTGTGTATGTATATGTATGTGTATAAAGTATATATGGAAGCTGATCAGTATTACATTTCACCTTTGTAAATGCACATTAATGACACTATGTAAAAGACACATCGAACACTTTATGTAGGGCATACGTAAATCTGTGTATCTATGTATTTACTTACGTATGTAGGTTAGCTTAGCATTTTAAAAGCACCGAATCACCTTCTGTGGTTGATTGTTCAATAAACCCTTGAACTATATGTTTAACACATCTCTAACCCTGTCCATGGAGGACAGAAGAAAATGTATATATGCTGGTTAGCATTGTAAATGTGTGGCCACGTTTGTGGTAGAAAATAATAATAATAAAAAGAAATAAGTGCAATATGTTATTATTGCCGGTTAAACTGTGAATTGCTCAAAATTTTACATAAATAGGATTTAAACTAAAGACAATTCTACAATTTTAACGCACATGATATAGTATTAGCCTGATAAATAAAACTTTATACAAACTTTTAATGACATATATTAAATTAATATACCTATCTTTTCGATAGGAGCCTATCCTATCTTTTAGGTTTTAATAGATAAAAATAATAATACAAAATTTGCTAGCAAGTCTTATAGTATAGCCGATATTTTGAGCGCTGTTGTCGCTAACAGTAAAACTTATACAAAAAACAGCTAGAGTTCATTGTTTTTTTTAAATAAAACTCAAAATGCAGAAAAATTATTAGGCTTGCTTACGCTCTACAAAACAAGAGTTGGTAAAATTTAAAAATAGCTTGGGGATTTCCCCTTTAAGCGTTATTTTACTGAGACGTTCAAGTGTTAATTACAGTCACAGAGGAATGTTCAATATTATTATAACAATGCTACTACCTATTAACACATTCCGTTAAGTATATCCATAAATTAACAGGAACTAAATACATCTTAACAAAGAGCTTAACATTAACTTCTAAGAGTGTAAATAGTGAATAAATTTAGGGGGGCTAAAAGTTAACTACCAAGTTTGATGAGGTTTTACAGCACCTTAGAGACTATCTCAGCCTCTCATTTCACCCAGCAAGACGCTGCACTTAATAGATGGAACGAAGTTCATCGTCCTCCATATTGAGATCACCCGGTGTCACCCAGCTGGGTAAAGTGGGTTATGCCTTTCTTATTGTTGGGCAGTCATCAACTGTTGCTCCTTATCCTGACTTGTCATTGAGTGTACTGCAGTCTGGTGGGCCGTACCTCACAGCGTACTTTACACTTGTACCTCGTACCTCAGAGAGCGCACTTTACACTTGTACCCCGTACCTCATTGTACTTTACACTTGTACCCCGTACCTCAGAGTGTACTTTACACTTGTACCCCGTACCTCACAGTGTACTTTACACTTGTACCCCGTACCTCAGAGAGTGTACTTTACACTTGTACCCCGTACCTCACAGTGTACTTTACACTTGTACCCCGTACCTCAGAGTGTACTTTACACTTGTACCCCCGTACCTCACAGTGTACTTTACACTTGTACCCCGTACCTCACAGTGTACTTTACACTTGTACACCATACCCTTACACTTGTACCCCGTGCCCCAGAGAGCGTAATTACTTTAGGCTTTAAAGTCGTGCCTCAGAGAAGGTCTTGCACCGGAAGAACCGTTAAATTAATGGGTTTCAGTACTTACAGTATTAAATATTCACAACTTTTGTATAATACTAGCCTCCCACAATTTCAGTCATTAGCAATAGACAAATTAGCCTAGTTTTATTTGCTGTATCATTCTATAACACTGAATAAAACATACTAATTTTGCTGGTTACATTCGTCAATGTTTAATCAGAGAAAGTCCTAAAACTTGTCTCTTCGTGTCATCCATAAGTGATGAAGGAGAAGAGTTGAGTGTTGCGACAAGTCTAGTGTTCCTCCGCCCCTGGATGATCACGGGTGACTGGCATGTCTTCGTGTGAGGCGTCTTGTGTGTCTCTTGGAGCGTGTCTCACACCGGTAGCCGGAGTAGCCGCTTCTACAGTTGCATTCGTGGACACCGTCCTCAATGCTGCACTTTCCTCCCCGCCGGCAGAACCCTTTAGGACAGTGCAGCTCACCACACTCGGCACCTGACGAAGACCCAGAAATAGTAAGACTAACAGTCTCAAATAAGAGTCCAACGCTAACTTTCAATTTCTTCAGAAGTGCACTACATGACACTATTTATTAATTTTGTAAACAATGAGTGGCGCTGCCCAATAAACTCGCCCCTCGGGGCAAAATTAAATTAAAATTAATGGTCGTAACCTAATTGTGAATGCGCCTTAATGATTAACAGGATGAGCAATGGACACACAGCCACGCTGAGCCCTCGCCTCCCCCTCAACCCACACCCATGAAACTGAAGCTAAGGGAACCAAAATAAGAGAATATACAGGACTTTAATTAACACGTTTGCAAATATTCACGGTGACACAGACAGGCGCACCAACGTGGAGCAGACACGCGAGGAAACTCCATGTGTAATTGCTCTTACAGACACTAAACTATGATTAGTCATATAAAATAGTGTTACTTAAGAACTATTTCAATTATAAGAAAAGAGAGGCTATTATTGGAGTCTTCTACAAAACCACAGAAGGCCTAGACAGGTAAACACACACACACACACACGAACTTTTTCAGTGTCAGAGTAGTTAACAGATGGGATGCACTAGGCAGTGATGTGGTGGAGGCTAACTCCATACACAGTTTCAAATGTAGATATGATAGAGCCCAGTAGGCTCAGGAATCTGTACACCAGTTGATTGACAGTTGAGAGGCGGGACCAAAGAGCCAGAGCTCAACCCCCACAAGCACAACTAGGTGAGTACAACTAGGTGAATACACATATACACCTGTTCGTCTAGCAGTAAAAAGGTACTTGGGAATTAGACAGCTGCTACGGGCTGCTTCCTGGGTATGTGTGTGTGTGTGTTAGAGAGAAATATATGTAGTCGACATAACAGAGGAGAAATTGATTGGTTAGAAAGTCGGGGTCCAAGAGCTAATAACTCGATTCTGCATGCACAAATAGTAAGCACATACACATGCAATTAGCACCCAGCATATACATTAATAGACCAAAATATGAGGTGACTTAAAAGTCAACACACCTCTGAAGCCAAAGTTGCAGGCACAGATGGGGCCGTGAAGGCCGGGCAGACAGGTCCCTCCGTTCCTGCAAGGGTTAGGCTCACACATGCCCGCCCCGCTGCCCTCCTCTACCACTTCCAGGCCGCCGCGTGAACGTTCTGACGACGATGATAAAGAAGCAGCGAAGGTCTTCCCAGATTTAAGTGTTGCTGGATATGACACCTTAAAAAATGAATTCATAAGCATAAATATTGAGGTTGTAATACGTCTGTTACTATTTACAAAAACGCATTATAACAAATATTAAGCTCAAATCGAGATTTATACAACATAAACAGTAATCAATTTCACATGCAAAATCAATTCCTAATTAAATAGTCATAGAGAGAATTCACGCAAAGTTAGAGGGACTGACTCCACGGGTTTAGTACTTAAAACAGAACAATGGTGGATGGGTTCACCTGTGAGGCGCCGTCGGAGTACTGCCGTCTGTTCTCCAGCACCAGCTGACCGTCTCGGAATCTGCGAGAGTCCTCGCGGCCATGAACCAGCTGTCCATCCTCGTAATGCTCTTCTACGTTCATCTCCTCCCTCTCGCTGTATCCTCCGCCCACGCCCCCGGGAACTGCGCCCGAGTAACCATGTGTAGCTCTGTGGGAGGAACCTTGACCAGAATATCCCGAGCCTGCCAGAAGGATACAGGTGAGGCATCCTCCAGAAGACGTCCGGTGGCGAGATGAACCAGTAATGGAGGACGATTCATGAGAACTTGTCTCGTGTGCAGCTGAGGCACTACGTAGAGAGCTTGATCCTGTCCGCGGGGGTATTGACACGCCCAGAACAGTGGTGGTAGCACCAATGTGACCCTCACCAGTCGACGACGTGGACCCTCTTCTTGACCCAGAACTTCCATAGGTTTTTAAGATGCCATTAGCGGACAAAGAGCTTCGTGATCCACTTGTTTGTGACGATCCACCACTGTGACTAGATTCTAAAGATCCGCCGTAAGCCCCATAGGATCCCACTCCGGTAGAACCTGCATTTGTGCCGTAAGAAGATTCTGAAGGCGTGTTAAGAGTGTTGCCCGCCAAGATATTGTGGAGAGCGTCATGGTGAGGGACACCCAGGTCCTTCTCGTCCAGCTCCGTCCTGTTCTCGTACACCAGTGTCCCGTTCTGCCAAACAAAACATATTTATAAAATACTTGGACACAGAACTGACATCCATGAAATAATATTGTGATCTAACTCAAGTGTTTTTTATGATAGCTAATGCGAAGAAATATGTCCTAATATTTTGAATTATTATTGGTTATGTGCAACACTGAAGAGGACAGTAGTTCGATCCCTCAATTTTCATCCTGTTTGTAGTATATCATGACCTGACAGGAAATTTACTTCTTCCTGTCAATGAAATGTGTGAAGTAAAACATGTGTATGGGGCAAGTAACAAAGTCGGTAGACTAACAGATGTTGTCACAGCTCGAATAAGACTTGGCTACAAGTATCTCTGGCAGTTCGGCTTGTATAGGGATCTAGATGAAGTAAAGTGTAAAGTGTGTGGATAAAGACAGGGACACACACACTCGAACACTATATCTTGGATTGTAGTAAAATTGAGCCATTTAGAGATAAATCTAAGCTCACGCTGTTTGATATGGCAACCTATCTTATTACCAAGGATAAAATACCTGAAATCCTTTCCCTGTGTCCATATTTCGCTCCCAGTAAATAAATGACATGTGAGATTAAGAAACTAAGTATTGTGAAGACTAATAATAAACAGCAGCTCCTCTATGACTGTAATATCTTCATTGTTCAAACAATTATGTATTAGCGATAAGACCTACCATTAATGTATAATGACTTACTGTAAATATATAGCTCTTGAAATAAATCATTCTCTGTAACTAGCTGACATGTAACTATAAGGTGTGATGGATAGATGAAATTGTTTATGTAATAATCTAAGATGAGGTCTGATAAAGACCTTTTGTGCCCTCTGTAATTCTTTTGCGCTACCGCTCACAGGATGAATATGGAGTGCACAATAAACTAGCCGCCTTCGGCGGCAAGAATCAATCCTGTCAATATTTGCTGATGATGCAAAACTAACGAGGAGAATCAGAAATGGGTGGACCTGTGATAGCCTGCTAAGAGATCTTGACGTACTACAGGTGTAATCTTAAAAATGGACAAATGAGAAATGATATGGATAGGAACAGAAGCAGAAAGGTTGACAGATTCCTTCATCATAAAAAGAGAAACTTCTGCGAGTAGAAACAACCACAAGCCTAATGCCAGAGACACACGCATGATCTTCAGAAACATGGCCAAAGGAGCCTTTTGGCTTCTATAAACAAATGGATGCGAGACCAGTTATTAAGCAGCCTCGGAATGGAACTCCACATGAAAAAATCACAAAAATAGAAACGGTTGGAAGGCAACAAAGACAAAGACCTTCGTAGCACTTCGAAGGTCATAAAGTGTTTAGTAAATAACAACAAAGCCGCCCTGATCAAGATACGAGATGCAGATTTCGTAGGTGAACACGTGTACTTTGTGAATTCTTGTGTGGTAAGGTTTAAGATAAGCCGTGGAAAGGAGAGCTCTAGACCTGTCCTGACAGGATCGAGAAGCAGTCTGTTCCTGCACACGCCTATGTAAAGGAGAAGGTAAATAGAAGACTCGGGAAGAAGTGAGGAAAGAAGTGGTTGAAGACTAGTTGTGTGGAGGTACTGACGTGGAAGCGACGCTCGTGGTGAAGGTCGTACACAGGGTGGCCGTCGACGTACTCCTGCTGGCGACGCTCCTCGTACCGCCGGCTGCTGTAGTGAGGCACCACCGTCATGCGTCCCGCCTCCGACACCTGCGACCCGTCAACAAGATTAATCATTACTCTCTACCACTGCTGTTGTCTCTACCACCACTGTCCTTGCTGGCTACGATATTCTCATTATTACGCCTGCTTCTGTTTTTGTTTATACTGATATATTGTTAGTGCTTTTACTACTGCAATTGTTTCTTCTATTCAAGGCGATGAGTAAGACAGGGCATGAACAAGTGAAGAGAAATCTAAGGAAAGTGGACCAGATTCGCGTTAGAATCATTGATTGACAGAAAAAGTGAGATCAATGGATTCTAGCACGAATCTTCTTTATATTTCTGGTGTTCTTCATTTATGAAGGAAGTTAAATAATTAACTCCCAAAAGTATATTTTACAGTTTGATATGAGCTGAGGCTATCACATGAGCTTCATTGAGCCTGTCATGATATTATTATCAATGAAGTATCCATAAGAGCATGTATCACGATGCCCAAAACGACATTGAGTGTTGCAAAGACCTAAACAAACAAACAAAATCTGTATATCTAAATCAAACAAGCGCTAGCGCACAAAAAAAACAGTTAAATATTTATCTTTATAATTGCTATTCATGGCCCACCTGATGTGTCTGTGAAGAGCGACCAACGCCTCCTTCTGCGACCCTTCCAGCAGTCACATGTTGCTGAAGGTGCTGCGTCTGAGTCACCTCGTGCCTGGCGCCAATGTCCACTTCGTTGTCTAGGTACAAGACGCCCAGATGTCCTGCGTTCAGTTCTTCCAAGTCGTCTTTGTCCTTCTCCGTGCGGTTCTCGTGCACAAGGTGGCCATCCTCGAAACGTCGCTCATGATGGAGATCGTATACCTGCTGGCCATTCACAAACTTCTTCTCTTGTTTGACCTCGTGCTGCTGGGAGTAACTTCCTGGGTGATAGCTGCCATGCACCAGCTCCAGCTGGTCATCGCCATATGCGCTCAGGTCCATACCTTCAAGCTCATCGCTACCGTGCTCCGTTTCGTTTTCATGAATTAGTTCCCCGTTCTTATATTGACGTTCGTGATGCGTCAACCCAATGAGGCGTCCATTAATGTATTTCTTTGTCGTGCGCACCTCGGTGCGCCGTGAACCTGTCTGTGGATAGCCAACAACTACACATCCCAGCGCCTGAGTACACGGTGTTGCTGACGTCACCGATGACGACGAGATGTCTGATAATGATCCTGGCTGTTGGGCAGGATGCTGACCGCCTATTACAGAAGAATGCCTATGGCTTTCATTGTAGTGGTAGGAGCTTGAACCAGCCGATAACGGGTAGGTATTCCTTGTTTCATCAACGACTGATTCCCCAGCATAGTGAGACCGGGTGTCGCCAACTCCAGGAGCTACCTGATGAATGAGGTTACCTTGCCTAGTGTGGGTGCTGTTGAAGTAGTATGAGGAGCTAGACGATCCCGAGTAAGGTCCTCTTTGATGGAGAGTGGGTGACCCACCAACAGGTGTAGGATAGAGGACGGGTGATCCATCAACAGGTGTAGGATAATGGACGGGTGATCCATCAACAGGTGTAGGATAATGGACGGGTGATCCATCGACAGGTGTTGGATAAAGGGTGGATGATCCATCAACATGCGTACGGTGGAGGGTGGATGACCCATCAACACGCGTACGGTGGAGGGTGGATGACCCATCAACACGCGTACGGTGATGAGTAGATGACTCATCAAGAGTATTGTATATTTCATCATGAGGGTGGATAATGACCCCACTTTCTGCTTCACTCTCAACGGGGGCTAAAGTGGGCACAAAAAATGATTCTGATTCATTATCTACAGGTGGAATAGGTTGCTCATAGCTGTCCTCAAGAGGGCTTATATCATAGCGCTCCTTGTTATCGTCGTCGTCCTCGTCGTCGTTATTGACCACAGGTCCAATGATTACTCCTGGGATGCCCACTTGCGACTGGGATTTGTGCTGAGAATAAAGCTCTGTTTCCTGAGTGTCATGCCGCCGGCCACTGTGACTGGTACCTAAAAGTTGATCAGTAAGAGGCGTTTGTGGGGCTGAAGGGGACAGAACAAAGGTCGTGGTACGAGCTCCACCGCTGGTCTTTGGTGCCGATGGCACCACGAGCGAAGAGCTACTGGGAACCTCTCGCCCTGTGTTTTCTCTGTAATCTTCCTCTGATGTTTCTACTTGCTCACTGTATCCAGAAGGTCTTGATGCATAGGGTTGCCTGTACCTATCAGCTGATTCTATTCTGTGAAAGGTTTCAGAGCTCTCTTGTGAAATCTGTGTAATGGATTGGTCTGGCTTGGGGTTTCTTGTATTTTGTTGCACCAGTGTGCCTCCTGCAACGGTACTTGGTCCTCTGACACCGCTCCCGGGTCTCGTCTGACGGGCACCCGCGTGTGGTGAGGAGTGAGAGGGGGAGTCATATGTTGTGGGTTGCGAATAAAAAGATTCTTGTGAATCCTCACTATACTGTTCAGAGGAACTTCCTGGAACCGGTCTATTTGAAGGATAAGAGCTTCCACCAGTTGGTCTCTGTTGAGAAGAATCTGAAGTTTCTCTTGTGTATTCAGTATACTGCGTTGAACTTCCTGGAGCCGGTCTGTAGGAAGGATAAGAGCTTCCACCAGTTGGTCTCTGTTGAGAAGAATCTGAAGTTTCTCTTGTGTGCTCTGTATACTGTGTTGAACTTCCTGGAGCCGGTCTGTAGGAAGGATAAGAGCTTCCACCAGCTGGTCTCTGTTGAGAAGAATCTGAAGTTTCTCTTGTGTGCTCTGTATACTGCGTTGAACTTCCTGGAACCGGTCTATTTGAAGGATAAGAGCTTCCACCAGTTGGTCTGTGCAGAGAAGAATCTGAAGTTTCTCTTGTGTGTTCAGTGTACTGCGTTGAACTTCCTGGAGCCGGTCTGTATGATGGATAAGAGCTACCACCAGTTGGTCTCTGTTGAGAAGAATCTGAAGTTTCTCTTGTGTGTTCTGTGTACTGCGTTGAACTTCCTGGAGCCGGTCTGTAGGAAGGATAAGAGCTACCACCAGCTAGTCTGTGCAGAGAAGAATCTGAAGTTTCTCTTGTGTGCTCTGTATACTGCGTTGAACTTCCTGGAGCCGGTCTGTAGGAAGGATATAAGGTTGATGATGGTCTTGATTCATCAGTATATTGTGTTGAACCTGAAGTTGGCCTGTATGAAGGGTAGGATGAGGAGGAAGAGGAAGTTGGTCTGTAAGATGATGAATCTCTTGATTGCTCAGTATACCGAGTTGAGGAACTTCCTGACGAAGGGCTGTAAGAGGGATAAGAGGAAGGAGATGATTCTCTCAACCCCTGGGAATACGGTACCGAGGAATCTGGTATATAGGAAGGATTTGAAGCTGAGTGCTGATGGCTGTATTGTGAATATGAAGTATATCCGGGTCTATACCTGGGGTAGGTGTCCTGACTGTCGCGGTGTGTTGATGTGTACTCTCCATGGTTTTCATAGTACCCGCCTTGAAAATCATCGCCAATCAGAGCTCCAGTTGAGTCGTATTGCCTAACAATGTCCTTTGTACCCAGGTCCTCAGGTCCTTTCTCCTCGGTGTGGTTATGTACAAGCTGTCCGTCTTTGTATTTTCGCTTAACATTTTTAACGTAGACGGGCTGGCCGTTGACGTAACGGGTCTCTGAGTGAACCTCACTGCGGTGGCTTCCCCCTTGCACGGGCTGATGCGGTCCATAAGACATCTGACGCTGAAGATTTTCCCTCATTCGAGCCATGTTAGAATGGAAATCAGATGAATAGTCATCACTGTAGGCATCTGGAGATCCAAGTCCAGACGAGCCGAAACTCGAACCTTGGACATAGGAGCCCTCGAGATGATCATCATAGTTAGGCTGGGTGTTGGAGCTTCTGTAACTGCTGCTACTGCCACTTGAAGATAACTGACTTCCTGAATAGGCCGCCCCTGTTTCATGAGAGAACCCCAGATCATGGTCACCCTTCTCCACCTTCTGATCGTGAACTAGACGGTCATCTTTAAAGCGACGCTCATGTTGCAACTGATACACTGGTTGGCCATTGATGAACTGTTGCTCACTGCGGACTTCTTGGCGTGTGGACGTTGTAATGGGAACTGCTATAGGACCTGCCACGTCAGGGCTAACTGCTCCCCCGTAGGACCCCGAGCTGTAGCTGCTGCTGCCTCCATAACTTGAGGATCTTATGCCACCAAGGGTGCAGGAGAAGCAACCTTTCTTGTATACCGGGTAGGTGCCTGTCGCCGGGTAGGTGCCTGTCGCCGGGTAGGTGCCTGTCGCCGGGTAGGTGCCTGTCGCCGGGTAGTTAGCCTGGCGCTGTTCCCGAGTACGTCCCGGACCGGAGAACAACACCAAGTAAAAGGTAAAGAAAAAGGGAAATCATTATAATTACACAGTAAAATGGTAACAAGTTTCCAGCAATTATGTAACCTGACCCTGATATTATTTAATTGGTGAAATAAGTGATAGCTGACAGTTGATGGCATACATGAAAACATCT